CTGCACTCATTGCGCAGAATCGACTTCGTTTATTACAAGTTTGGTCTGAATTTAAGGTTTTGTTTGCAAAAATAATACGACAAAGGTACATTTTGAAATAAGTCATGATTGCTTACTTGTTTTGTTAGTTCAACAGTGGGTGAGTATGAGTCACGACTTGATTCCAATAGATCCGGCAGTTGAATTCAATGACTGAAAATAGCTTTAGTTATACCAACACGACACTAATTCTTATGATAATTCTTGACATGTGTTGGCAGTATACATATCCCATATCAAAGCATACAATTGTATTACACTCTAACATTTCAGTGCTTTGCTTTTTCTATGTATCACTTACCCCGGTAGTTTAAAGTCATTGTATTTTCATTAAGAAATTTCAAATTTAGACATGTTTAAAGCTTATGTCACTCCCGGACTAGAAATGGCTTTAATCATGTTTAAATTTTTTATTAATGAAAATACAATGGTTTAAACTACCGGGGTAAATGATACACTGCACTCAAAAGCAGGCAGTAGTAGAAGCATTTCCCCAATTTTCCCCACATACAGAACATTTGTTTGCATTGATATGGGGTATGTATGGTTGGCATAAATGCACATTAAAGTGTACGCTGCATGCGGCATTACAATGTATATTTTCAATGCACTACCAAGCATAAACAGTATAAATCAATGCTTTTTTCCAAAACATCTCCCACCTACCAGACAATCAGAAGGCTTGAATTCAGGGCTCTACGATAGCCGGCGTTTTCTGTACTGCATCACACAATCATCAGATTAGTCTTAATGTTGAAATTAATTTCGCAAAATCGGATCCATTACAGATTATTTTACATTTGTAGCAAAAACATTATGATTTACCATCAATGTGCTACAGTAGACAAGATATTAGTGCAGTAGATATAAACCAGAGATGTGGCTCAACATCGGCATCCCATACCTGCACATCGACTGAACCCCTGCCCTGCACTTCTATTATGGCGGCTGTTGAAACCACTCCCGAATCAACCCCCAGAGCAAAACGTAAAAGACCTAGATATTCATGGGATGACCAACAAATGATCGAGACATCTGCTAATGAAAGCGGAGGGAAAGGGACAGTGGTCCCTAACAAAAAGCTTGTTTCAAATATGGAACCACAGCTCATGGCGATCAATGAAGCCAAGCCCGAGGACGTGTCAGATAGGTCGTACATATTTGAAGCATTGTCCACCCCGTTCAAAAGATTATGGAGTCTTGTGTCAAAGCGCCATGACTGACATGGCATGCAATAGATAGACACCTGGTTAATTAAGCTGTCATTTTATTTTATATGAATTGAATATTGATTTTTTTAAACCAAAATATTAATTGAGAGTATATTGAGTATACAGGAAAGCATGCACATTTAATTAATGTTTGGATATTTGCCCAAAAAAATAATACAAATGAATAAATATAGGAGAGCTAGTGCTTTGCAATTTAAAATACTTATTCAAACTAAAGGCAAATATGTTATAATTAATACATAATAGTGAGTCAATAGAAATTGGATTAGATATATAAAATTTTGTGAATTTATTGATACAATGGCCAGAGGATTGCCAAAATACGTAAAAAGGAATATTGTAGAATTTGAAATTCTATTGAATAATAATTTATGAAATATTTATTAAATAATGTACATCGTAACTATTATAGTATGTAAAAGATATATATGGTTGTCCTCTATTTGACTTTCAGGTAAAGTCCACCTTATATTAATTGTATGTCTCCTGTATGTCTGAGGTGTCCGGTTACTCTTACACTTGTTCACGTGAACATTACATTCCTCGATTTATCATCAATTATTGTATAAAGTAATCAATAAATAGCTTAGTATCAAAGTATTTTTGGATTACAAATTTAGATAATAAATCAAGAGTATTCTTCTAATCTGTAAAATTGAATCATTTCTAAGTATTTTTCTTGGTATTCGGTCATTTGACCTACAAATTCACACTTTATTTATGGATGCAAACATTTTTAAGTTAGGTTAGGTTAAGTAAGGAATTCAAAAATAACGTTTAAAAATAAATTCTTCCATAAATAACGTCGATATTTAGACGTACTTTATGAAAAAAAATTTGAGTTTATTTTGTTCCTGAGTTGCATGAGGGTAAAAGTGCAATTTTGAATATTTCTAGGTCAAATGACTCGTAGGTCAAATGACCCAAGACCATTTTTCTTATCTAAATTATTAAATTCTTAGAAAAGACTTAAAATAATTTCGTAAATCAAGTTTTGGTGAAAGTTGAAATAAAAATAGATAAAAGTGAGATTTTTCAAGTTAAATTTATTTGTTTCTAGGAATTCCTTATATAATTAATAAAATCCGCGAAAACAATATTAATGAAATTTTTAGTTATTCTATCTCCAAAATCCTAATATACACTGGGATGATATTTCGACTAATTTAATAGAAAGAGTTATAGTACTTAAATTGTCAACAGCTGAGAGATTAAATTGTCAGAATTTAATAAAAAACAGGTCTTATCGTTTTTTGTTTGATACTTATTGGGTATTTTATACAATAATTGGGGATGAAATAGTGCTATCTATTTAAATTTATATTAAAACGTATTTTTTGAATTTACATGTCAAAAATGTAAAATTACAAGATTAAGACTAATCTGATGATCGTGTGATGCCGTACAGAAAACGCCGGCTATCGTAGGCCCTGCTTGAATTGAATGCAAAACAAACAAATCAAAAGTCAATGATTTTCATACAAAACGTCTGCAAAACATATTCGCAAAAGTTTTCATCAAATAAAGTAATAATCGAATAATAATTAGATATTTTTATTAATCAAATAAACTTATAATTGTTTTAAAATGCAGTAAATAAATAGTAATTAAATAAAAGATTTTATTTCTTCGGTCTCTTCACACGTCTGTCCATAAGATTGCATTCATTTGTCATACGTTTGGACACGACTTCAGACCCATTCTGATGAGTGTTTAAGACATGTCTCGCAAGAGTTGCCTTAACGTGAGTCCTATACTCACATCCAGTCCATTGACACTTGAGATGACCCACACGTATACCTTTGTGTCTCATCTCATGAACTCCGAGATAGGACTTTGATAGGAATGTCCGTTCACACCCTGGCCATTTGCACGGGTAGACAGTCTCTCCCGTATGTGTATTCATATGTTTCTTCAACTGGGTTTCATAAACAAACGATTTGTCACATCCGGGCCATTCGCACCGCACTTTGAGGGACGGGTCGTGTGTTGACATGTGTTTCCCTAAGAGGTAATTGGTTGCGAAGGTATGCCCGCATTGGTCGCAAACAAACGGCTTCGTGTGCCACATCTCGTGGGCTTTCATCTCCTGCTTGTATTTATTCCTATACTCACAGCCCGTATGCGAGCACTCCATCCACGGCACGTCCGGAAAGGCGTCGGGATGTTGTGTCAGATGATGTCTATTCATACTAATCGGTCCAAACATTAGTTGGCAGCCATTGATCCCACACTTCATGCGGTCCTCCTTCGTGTGCACCACTCGATGCGCTTTGAGACGCGCGCGCTCACCGGTCG